TGTGTGTGTTTATGTCTATGTGTGAGTGTGTGTGTGTCTATGTGTGTGTGTACGTGTGTGTGTGTGTCTGTGTGCATTTGTGTGTGTCTGTGTGTATGAGTGTGTTTCTGTGGGTGTTTATGTCTATGTGTGTCAGTGTGTGTATGTGTGCGTGTGTATGTGTGCGTGTGTGTGTGTGTGTGTGTGTGGGTGGGTGTGTGTTCCTGTTTGTGTTTATGTCTACGTGTGTAAGTGTGTGTATGTGTGCGTGTGGGTGTTTGTGTGGGTGTTTATGTCTATGTGTGTAAGTGTGTGTGTATGTGTGCGTGTGTGTGTCTGAGTATGTCAGCATACGTACGCTTGGTACGCAGGGCATACATGTATATATATATAGAGAGAGAGAGATAGAGAGAGTATAAAATGCCAGTTCCCAAAGGCGGAGAGGTTGCTCCAATTACGGAAAATTATCTGCAATTCCGAGCGGCTGCAGTCAGTTATGGTGATATGACATTTACTAGCTACGAGAGGACGGCGAACCAGAAACATGAAGGAGGCAAGCCAGTGACGATATTGTGAGGCAGCGTGGTGAAATCAGGCGCTCGATAGAATAATGAAATTTAAAAACAAATCGTTTTGGTTTTTTTCGGCCAGTTTGGAAATTTGTTTTGAATTTGTTTTATTTTTTTGACTTATCACCTTGCATGTCCATTCAAAAAGACATTTATGTGTCGATGGAATGGAAAAACGTTTATTAAAGGTATGAAAAATGTTGTTTTGGAGTTTCCAAGGACTCTTCAGTTATGAAAGTCACCAAACTTTGACGGCCATTTTCTAGCTAACTTTACTTCTGAAACTATGCTACCTCACCTCATTTAATTGCAAATATCTCGACTTCAATTCAAACTAAATGGATTATAGTTTTTCATTGAAAGCAAGACAAATTAACAGCCTTTAAAGATGATACCAGTAACTCCATATGCTCCAAAATTGACGAGCGCCTGAATCCACCGCGTCGTGACGACACTACATATTCGAGAGTTGTTCCAGATTGGGTGTACCTTTCAGACATGACCTACGCCACTAGCTGTCATTCAACATTGTCTTATGTCAAAATTTCGATGGGGAAATATGAAAAATGTAAGCTGTTGAGGCGTTTTTTGTTTCGCTTTTGGAAGTGTTTTACGGTGCTCGCGGCAGCATAAGGTGATGTCACAGCACTCGAGACACATTTTAAAGCATTTAAAAACATTTTCAGACAGGTAGGGATACTTTTTGAATTTTGCCCGAGTGGTGGCCGAAGCCTACTCCTATCGAATTTAGGTAGGATCACTAAGGGATCATTAAAGTACGCAATTTGCAAACAGGATCTCCGAGATTTTTCACCTTTATCTGAGAAGGCTAAGTGTTCGATTATACCTAAGATTTGAGGTGTGCCTGAAAAAAAGGAGTAAGGCACAAAAATGTATATATCGTTCTGGGGAATTCGTCTGCTCAATTCACGGGGACCTTGACTATCACTTCTGTATTTATAAAGGCACCAGTCACCAATGTCCAGGTGCTGTTTTAGTCTAGACTCTTTTTC